CCGCGTGCGCGGCCTCCCGCCGCTCCTCTGCTCTGCCTGCGGTGGGCTCGTGTCGGCGGCGGCCCCGCCGCCGGCGTGCAGCGTGGATCGCCTGGCTCCCGGCGGCTGCTTGCCTTGCTCCCGGCGGCTTTTTGCCGCTCGCAGCCCTCGTGGTGTGCCCGGGGCCCCTCGAGGCTTCTCTCCCGCCAGTCTTCGCCGCTCGCCTGCTGCGCTCCTGGCTGGCGTCGGCGCCTCTTCGACGTGTCGTCCAGCTTCCCGTCACTCCGTCCTCCTCAGGGGTAACGATAGGGGGGGGACAGGCAGAGGGGGGGGATGCATCGACCCCCAATCGCCCATTGATCGCCGATAGGGGCCCGATAGCCCCAAAACCTGCCCAGGAAGGTGCGGATTCACGTTCGGAGGCCTATCGCCGATCTATCGGCGATGTATCGCCGATTCCAGGTCGACGCTCCCCCCCCCCCTATGCCCCCCCCCCCTATCGTTGCCCCTCAGTTGAACGCCGGCGGCGGCCCAGAATCGGTCGATGTTGAGCGATCCTGACGTTTCGGGAAGCGGCCGATCGTTCAAGGTCGAACGGTGCGGTGTCGGGAGCCAGCGCCGGGGTCGACACGACACGAGTTTGCCGTACCGTTCTGCCTGAGTCTACAGGCCTCCCAGGTGGAGTCCGAGTGCGGTCAGACCGAGTGATACGAGCGAGGTGGGTTCGGGGGAGGGTGTCCTATGTTCTTCTCGACGACGAGCGAGGGGGGAAATGAGAAGGGGCGGGCCTACTCAGAAGGCTCGGAAGTCCCCAGGCCTTCTGAGAAGGTTTCTGAGCCGCCCCCGAGGACGCAACAAAAACCATCAGGAGGCGCGAGGGCTTCTGAGAAGTCTCGCCGCCCTCTGAGAAGGCCTTCTCCTTCTCAGTTCCTCCCCTCGCTCGCCGCCAATCTTCGGGTTTGCTGGAGGTTCTTGCGCATCCTGGGCCACACCGCGGCACAAGCTCGACCCGGGTGCACGCGCGCCGCGCCGCTCGGAGCGAACGGGCGGCACCCGGGCGTCACGGGGCTGCCGACGTCGTGCTCCGCGCCGCCGTGGAGCGAACGGGTGGCGCTTGGCTGCTGGGGGCGAGTGTGGTGGGCCTGTTGTCATCCACCACCACCTTAAGTTGGAGGGGGGAGCAGGTGGAGGATGAGGAGGAGAAAGAGGAGGAGGAGGAGGAGGAGGAGGAGGAGGAGGAGGAGGAGGAGGACCCCCTCCCCCTCCTACTTCTGGTGGTGGTGGTGGTAGAAAACAAGCCCACCAGAGTGTGCGCGCCGTGCGCCGGCGCAGGCCGCAGCAGGCACGGACGGACCGTGCATCGGCTCTTGGGTGCACGCTCCGCGTTGCGGTCGGCTCGGTGAGGGTTCTCTAACGTTTTTCGTGCTTTTGGTATATGCTCTTGCTCACCACCCACCAAACCACCCCAACCCAACCCGAAGGCCTCAATTTGCCGCCCATTTCCATTGGGGGGGGGGTCCGGGAACATCGAAGAGAAGAACATGGAGCCCATACCCCCCCAACCCGAAATTCGGGTCTTCGGGTTGGGTTGGGGTGGTCTGGTAGGTAGTCACTTGCGCAGCCTCGGGGAGGATAACCCCAGGAAGCAGTTAAGAACCCCCCCCCCCCCTTCCGGCAAATCGATAACCCTTCCGCACCCTGGAAGCGTTACCTGGCACCAGGAGCCCTCCTCCTCCTCCTCCTCCTCATCCTCCTCCTCCTCCTCCTCTCCTCCACCCACGAACTTCCTCCTGCCCCCTCCTCCTCCTCCTCCTCCTCCTCCTCCTCCTCCTCCTCCTCCTCCTCCTCCTCCCGCGCCCCCCTCCTTCCCTCGGGGCCCAAGGCCTGTCAGGGCCCAAGTCACCTGGGGTTTCCCCTCTGGGCCTTCTCCTGAGGAGGAGGAGGAGGAATATTAATACTATTATCATTGCATGAATTTTCCAAGCAGCAAGCGACATCCTGAGTCTTTCATGAGAGCCACGCAGATTTGAATTTCGAATTTCGATTGTAGCCCAGGGGCCAGGTCTCCGCGAATTTGTTGTGTGTCCGGGTGCTAAACCTATCGTGCGGTTATTTCGGCCCCTCGGAATATCGAATAAAAATGCGGTGCTAAGATATCGCCGGGGGGGTTCTTAAATGCTTCCTGGGGTTACCCCTGGGAGCTCTGTGTGGGCTTTGGCTGGCGGAGGGCCCCATCTGAAGCAGTGCCCTCCCCCTCCCGGAGGCCCAAACGTGGCCAAAGCTAAAAATCAATGATTTTGGCATTCTAGCCGAGGCCAATTGGAGCGTATTGGGTGCCTCTGGGGGGTTCCTTGGGGCCTCGTGGGGGTCTCTTGGGAGCCTCTTGGGGGCATCCTGGGGCCATGGGGCCATCTTGGGGCCGTCTCGGGGCCTCATGGGGACTCCTGGGCGCCTCTTGGGGCCATCTTGGAGGAGATCGGTCACAGGAGGGGGGGGGCTCAATTCGCCCCCCCCTTCAGGAGGCCACCTCGCCGAGGCCGTTTTAGACGCTCCAACGCGTCGCGGACCCCCCCGTCCAGGTCCAGGGGAGGGGTCGAGACCCCCTCCCCGCCCGCAAGCAGTCTCGCTCACTCCCACCCGCCCTCCCAACACATACGTAGCACCCGAGCTTGGCCCGAGCCGCAGCATATTCAGCAGTCGTCTTTGGATGGGCAGCTACTGGGGGCGAATTCGCCGCCGCCGCCGCCCGCCGCCGCCGCCGCCGTTGTCCGCCGCCGCCGCCGCCGCACCGCCCGCCGCCGTCCGCAGCCGCCGCCGCCGCGCCGCCCGCCGCCGCCGCCGGTTTTTTGACAGGGATGGTGGGGGGAGGCCGCATCCGTTTCGCTGCGCATGCTCCGAATTTGGAGGCAGAGTGTGTTTTGTATTTTTTTTGCAAGGGATGGTGGGGGGTTGGCCCTCATCGTCCCTGGTTGGCTCCCAGTCGCCTGGGGGAGGGGGTGTGCACTAATAGGGGGGAACAGTGATAAACCCCTCTCCGAAGGGGAAGAGGAAACTCCCTAAACCACCTACGCCCAGAGGGCTGGTGGGATTAGCGCCCCCCCCCCCAAGAGGCCAAACTGGTTCCCAAACTTTGGTGAAACAAATTATTGTGGCTTCCTCGCTGCGGCCGATTTGGACGCCCTGACCTCTCACGAGTGGCCCCGTCCAGGTCCAGGGGAGGGGGTAGGGGGAGGGGCCAAGACCCCCTTCCCCGCCCGCAAGCCGTTTCGTTCACTCCCACCCACCCTCCCAACACATGCGTAACACCCGAGTCTGGCGCGAGCCTCAGCATATTCAGCAGTCGTCTTTGGATGGGCAGCTACTGGGGGCCAATCCGCCGCCGCCGCCGCCGCCGCCGCCGCCGCCGCCGCCCGCCGCTGCCGCCGCCGCCGCCGCCGCTGTGCGCCGCCGCCGTCCGCCGCCGCCGCCGCCCCCCGCTGCCAAACCGCCGCCGCCGCCGCTGCCGCCACCGCCGCCGCCGCCGCCGCCGCCGCCGCAGCCGCAGCCGCCGCAGCCGCCTCCACCGCCGCCGCCGCCGCCGCCGCCGCCAAGTGTACCCTGTATTGTTTTGTTGACAGGGCTGGTGGGGGGGGCGCATCGGGTTGGCTGCGCATGTTCCGAATTTGGAGGCAGAGTGTGTTTTGTATTTTTTTACAAGGGATGGTGGGGGGTGTCGTCATGGACCCCGGTTGGCCCCCAGTCGTTTGGGGGAGGGGGTGTTTATTAATAGTGAACAGTGATAAGCCCTCCCCGAAGGGGAAGAAGGGGGTTGGAAGAGAAAACGCCCTGGACCACCTTACGCCCTAAAGGGCTGGTGGGATTTTCCCACCCGGGTCGTAGGTGAGCTCTCTATTGAGGCACATTCCTCGTGGGGCGTGTGCCGACAAGGATGTTGGTATGCCGTGCGGATTGTCCTACGGGGGCCACGGGACAGCGTGTTGTGGCAACAACTATCGTGAGGGGTGTGCCGCAAGAGGCGCCCCTAGAACTACATGCGGATTCCCCCACTGGGGCCGCAGGTGCAGGAGGGTTGGGAGCCAAGTCATCGGACGACGTTGGGAGTTTCCTGAGAGCCTCAAGGCAGAAGACATTGAACAACCACCGGCTTTTTGAATGGTGTTGCCCTCTCGCGGGTCTCCTTGCGAGGGTTGAAGAGAAACGGCGAGAAGGCAACACGGTTAAATCATGGATTTCAAATGCTCTCGGCCCTCGGAGGTAGCCTGGGGAGGCTCCGTGGCCACTTGTAGCTGTCGTGGGTTTTTTTGAGGCCTTCTCGGGTTGTATGTTGCCATCATCGGGGCCATTTTGGGTTGACTGGATCCGTTTTGAACCCATTTGGGACCTTTGGGGGCGCTCTGGCGCCTCATTGCCCCCTCGTCCCAGACCCAGTATCAGGGGTAAGGAAAGGAAAGGGAAGGGAAAGAGCTTTTATCATCCTCATCCCCCCCGTCATCCTCGTCCTTGGTCTCCCCCTCGCTCTGGTCCGCGTCGCCCTACTCTCTCTTCCCGCGTCGTCATTCTCGTCATTGCTCGTCGTCTTCGTCGTCGTCTTCCTTGGCCTCGTGCTCCCTCGACCTTGTCGTACTCTCTCAGGACGTGGCCCCTGGAGCCCCCGACCCCACCTCCCAGGCTTCTGGTTGGCCCAAAGGGGGGTTCAGCTACAAGGGGGTGGTGCAATAGATCTGCTGCAATAGATCTGCGGGTTGCAATGTATTTGGGGCGTGCAATACATTCTGGGGCGCAAATGTGTTGTTCGAGTTTCGCGTGCAATGCATTCGCTGCAATACAATGCAATCCAATTTTCTGGCGCAATACATTTGCAGTACAATTGTCCCGAATCTGCTGCACCACCCCCTTCGGCTGGACCCCCTTTGGGGTCACCCAAAAGGCTGGCCTTAACCCTCGAGGATCCCTTTCCCAGATGCCGCGGCCCGAAACAAGCCCTGGGAGGCATGCCCTCGCTCCAGAGCGCCGCCCAGAAGGCTCCGGTCCAAGCGCGCCCGGTGCACTGCGCTGGTGCAGCAGACGTGGCGAGGCACCACGCCCCGGGGGCGCGGCCGGCGCGGCGACGCTCGAAGCGATGCTGATGCAGATTCCAATGCAGACCGGCAGGCGGGACCGGACGCCCTCCTCCTTCGAGGAGGAAGGAGGAGGTCAGGGGCAACGAGAGGGGGGGGGACAGGCATAGGGGGGGATACATCGATTCCCAGTCGCCCATTGATCGCCGACAGGGGACCGATGGCCCCAACCGGCCCAGGAAGGTGCGGATTCACGATCGCAGGCCTATCGCCGATCTATCGGCGATGTATCGCCGATTCCAGGTCGATGCATTCCCCTCTATGCCAGTCCCCCCCTATCGTTGACCCTCAGGAGGAGGAGGTGGAGGAGGAGGAGAAGAAGTTGTACATTCAAGCAGTGGCGAAGCGTCCTGGCTCGCCTATAGCCCCACCAAACAATGTCCTGAGAACCTCGTGTGGTTTCCACGAAATGTTCTTAGAACATTTCTGGTTGAGACTGTCTTGCTTTAATATATCGTGTTAATGTTCGAAGACCATTGGATTTGTTCTTAGAACATTTCTGGGTTCTACAAACATTTCGTGGTAGGACTACAGGAAAGCCGGGACGGTCGGTCCATGCGCAACATATAGAAGCAGAGATGTTTGACGGTCCGGGCGGATTTCGTGGATCTGCGCTGGGACCCCTTGGGCGCGCTCCGCGCGCCAGGGAGGGGGGTCCCAGGGCCGATCCAAGAAACCTGCGCGGAGCTCCGCGCAGGTTTCTTGGATTTGCGCAGTTTTTTTTCCTCCACAGTCAACCCGCGGAGTAAGGATGGGCAACCTTCCCACGGGGTACCCTTGCATCCTTGCCTCCTCGGTCCATTCATCGTCGCTTTCGCTGGCCGCGCCCCGCTCGAAAAGCTTCGAAATGGGCGCCCAAGGCCCTTGCATCCTTATCGCGCATCCTTACTATACTGGTTGACTGTATTACTGCGACCACTTGGTGACCACTTGCGAACGATACCCATGTGGTTCCAATCGGCGCTGTGGGATCGGACACCCCCGCCGGTTTTCACCTGGCTGCAGACATGCCTCCTGAAGTAGGCGCTGGTCCAGCGGCTGATACTTTCACATGGCCGGGTGGCAAGGGGGGCCATGGAAGGCGACGTCCTACGACAGAGAACCTTCGCCGCGGGAAGCCTTGCCCCTCTCACGCACAAGTTCGTCAGGAAGATTGGTCGCCACAGGAACGAATGGTCAACGCAGGTCGGGAAGGTCGCTGCGCAGCTGGGCGTCGATGTGAGTGATGCTGCGGCATGGAAAGCTAGAGTAGTTCAGTTTTGCACGAGTAGTTAAGTGCACGAGTCCACGCGCCTAGGGCGTATGACTTTTCGTTCGTTCGTTCGCAGACACGCTTCGAATTCTGAAGCACAGGCGGTTTTGCAGAAGTCGGAACTGCAGGGGTGGGTTTCACATGTGGTGCCTATCTCCTCCCGCTGCAGAGGGAGGGTCGAGCCATCGTCGTCCAAACCACCCCGAGCTGGACTGGGACGGGGTATGTAAGGTACAGGTGGCACGAGGCTTTAGGAGCTCAAGTTTTGGAGTGGCGCCCCGTGTGTTCTCCGTGTTTGGATTCTCCACCTCTCGGATTTTTTTTCGAGTTGGACCCTGGGTGAAGGGAATCACGTTCTTGGCCAACGTTCTCGTGGCCACATTTCAGCTGTAGCTCTCTCGGCCCCCTCTAAGCTCTAGGAGTGGGAGAGGAGGAGGAGGCCGAAGAGGAGGAGGCTGTAGAAGAGGAGGAGGAGGAGCAGGAGGAGGAGGAGGAGGAGGAGGAGGAGGAGGAATGATAGGGACGGTGGTGGAGGAGGAGGGCGGCAGTGAGGGGAGAGGGAGGAGCAGGATGACGATGGAGGAGAGGGTCGGTGGAAGGAGGAGGGGGGTTGGGGGCGAGAGTAGGGCTTTCTCGAGTGGGTTCCCGAGCGGTGCTCGCGCCAGCCAGGAGGCCGGGGCCAGGCTGCGGCCCGAGATCAGCCGCCGGCCTCGACGTCCTCGTTGCCGTCGTCCTTGCCGCCGCCGTCGTCGTCATGCCGCCCTGGGCGGCAGCGTCGCACCTGGGGCGCCCGACGGGCCCAGCCTGGGATGCTCCTCCGTAGCCGTCGGCTGAAGCCCCTCCCTGCGGCAGCTTCGCGCGCTCCTCCGCGCCGGGCCCCGGCCGTGCGCGCGGGCTCGGGGCCTTGCGTCGACTACTGGTAAGAGTGACCCTTCGCTGGAGTGACCTTTGGTGCGGGCTCATCGGTAGGCGGTTTCCCCGAAGGGCTTTCGCGACCCGTCGGGGCCCCGTCGAAAGTGGCGAGAGCGTGAAACATTTGCGCAAAACCAGAGGAAATCGTATGAATATGCAATTATTGGTTCTTTCGTCATTTGTTTTCTGTGTTTCAGGGCCTCTTAGGGTCGCCCACGCCCCCGGGGGAAACCGCGCACTCATCGGGGCCCCTCCGATCATTGAGCAAGATGCGATAGCGGCTGCTTGCGCTTGTATGTGGCCACTTTGCGCCCCCTCCCTCCGCGCACCAAGGGCCGCTCCTGCGCAGGGGACTCTTTCGCCAAGCCGACTGCCGGGGGGCAGAGCTTGGGAGGGACGACGGCCGAAGCGAGGCACCTCCGAAGCGCAGCACAACCCGCGCCGAGCACCTTCGACGACAGGCCAGACCTCCACCCGCCAGCGAGGCGTTGGGCCCCGCCATGGCGGGCCGCGGCTGCGCTGCCCGCTGGGCGGCCTGCGGCCTGTCTCTGCAGGACGAGGCCGCCGCCGCCCTGCTGCGCTACGGCCCCCCGGTCGGAGCGGCGGCGGCGTCCCGCGCCGCGCCGGCCGCGGTGGCGGGCGGCGCCGCGAGGCGGGCGCCAGCGCCAGCGCCAGCCGAGGAGGGGGCGGAGATCCTGCTGCTGCCCTCCCCCTCTCGGGTGTTGCCGGAAGTGCTCCCGGCCCAGGGCGGGCGCCCCCAGGACCTGCAGGGAGGCCCACGACGGCGTCCAAGGTCGGGCCAGGCGAAAGGGGGGGATTTGGAAAGGGGGGGTTACGAAATTTGTTGCATGCAGCTGGTTTCGGCCTCACCGAGGGGCCCATTCGCCCGACCCGACAAGGGCCTCCGGAGCACCCCGCACGAGGCCCAGGGGTTCCAAACTCGGGCGAGAGGCTGGGGGCACCTTGGGCCAGGGACACCTTCGGCCACCCCCGACCCTCTGCGGCCGGCTCGCCCGCTACGGCACTGCTGGCGAGCCTGTCGCGCAGGGGCGGAGGCGAGTGTGTCGCTTGCTGCGTGCTGTACCTCCACGGCTTCCCCGACCAGAGCCTGGACCACCGCCAAGAGCTGGCCAGCCACGGCGCCCTGAGGGGGCAGCTGCCGCGGCAGCTGCGGGCGGCGGTGCTGGAAGAGGTGGAGGGGAGCGCCTTCTGCGCGTTCAACTTCTCGGAGGAGGGCAGGCCGAGGAGACGGCGGCCCTCCCTGGAGTTTCTCTCGCTCGTTCCTCCTCCTCCTCCTCCTGCCCCTTCTTGGGCCTGCCGGAGGCTCTTTACCGCCGCGCCTGGATGCGCGCGGGCCCGTCGCTCGGCCGACAGGTCGTCGTCGCCGCCGCCGCCGCCGACGTCGTCGCCGCCAGCCGTCGTCGTCGTCGTCGTCGTCGTCGTCGTCGTCGTCGTCGTCGTCGTCGTCGTCGTCGTCGTCCTCCGTCGTCGTCGTCGTCGTCGTCGTCGTCGTCGTCGTCGCTCGTCGCTCGTCGCTCGTCGCTCGTCGCTCGTCGTCGTCGCTCGTCGCTCGTCGTCGTCGTCGTCGTCGTCGCCGCCGCCGTGGGGCAGGGATGGACCCCGCGGGATGGCGGTTGAGCCGCCGTTATCTCAGCTGGCGGCGGGAGAGAGCCGCCGCGGCCTCGGCCGGCCCTCCTCCGAGCGTCGCGGGCACGCCGGGCTCCGACGGCGGCTGCCCCTTCGCTGCGAAGACGGTGAGCCGGGAGGTGGCCGATGCCAGGCGGCGGCGAGCAGAGGGGGTATAGGGCAGGGCTCATGTCGATTCCTCCGATGCGATTCGACTTGGTCTCGGTGGATTCGACTGCTCCCGATTCGGCTGCCGATCTCCGCCGATCCGATTCATGTCGATCGCCGACCCGACTGATCGATTCGATTCTGGGCTCTCCTGGGGTAGGGGGAGGGGGGAGGCTTTCTAGAATCGGGGAAACATAAGACTCGAGTGCGCCGGGACTCGGGTTGGCCGACGTTTTTTGACGAGCGCGTCCTGGGTTTTGACGGTCCAGTTTTCGTGGGATGTTTGCAGCGGGAGCTCGCGTCAACTTTCAGGCTGGGTCTCGTCATTGTCATGATAGCCCCGTCAGGCCAACCCGAGTCTTCCGAACCCGAGCCTTACGTCTCCCCGATAGAAACAGGGGTGGTTCTGAGGAGCCTTCCCCCCCTGCCCCTACCCCCTTGTGCGCGCCGCCAAGCCAGAGCCGTCATCGGATATTTGCGCGAATTCGTGGCACCAGCGCCTGCTCCGATCCATGTGGTGGGCATATCCACTGGAGCCATCATCGCGTCCCTGCTGCGAGGCTGCGATGAGCACATGACGGTCACGGCGATCGCTGGCCTCGTGGATGTCGTCTCTGGGCTGCGCTACGACTTCGATGCCGAACAGCTCACAGCTTTCGACAGGGACGGCTGCTGCTGGAAGGAGTTCTGGCTGCCCCCCGGGTCGCCGTCCAACCCGCCAGCCGGCTGGGGTGGGCACGATGACATCGCTCTCAGTGGCGCCACAGAGGAGGCGAGGTGGCAGAAGACCGCGCTCCGCCTGAGCGCGCGCTACCGCGAGGACTTCCTGGGCCTCGACGTCGCTGGCGCGGTGCGACGAGGGCGATCGCCCTTGTTGGTGGTCCACGGCGACAAGGACAAGAGCGTGCCGCTGGCGAGCGGCGAGGCGCTGTTCACCGCGGCCGCC